AGGGAGGGGCGGCGCGCAGGGAAGAGCCCGGCCGCCGGGCCGCCCTGAGGGAAAGGGAGGGCGCCGCCGCAACCGCCGCCTTTTCCTCGTCCTCGCCCCCCCCGCCGCGGAGGTCAAGCGCCCCCCTCCCCACTGGTGGAGTAAGCCGGGTCACGGCGAGTTGGGACGCGGAAGGGAGGCCACCAGGAGATGCCCGCCCTGGCTGCCTGACCTTTTCGAGAGGGACCAAACTCCAGGAGAGGTGCTGCCCCCTAGCTGAGTTTTACTGCCAAGACACTTTAGGAAGCAATCGGGTGGGACGGAGATATAGGGGTGTGTGTGAGTTCAGCCCTGAGGGGGACTATGGACAATGCCCGAGGAAAAGGGCTAAGAAGCCCCCCTCTCCAGCCTTATGAATAAAGGCCCCCCCCTTTCCTGTTCCTTTTGGACTTTCCCTCATTTGTAATTTGGGGTTTTAATTGCATTAATAAACTATTGTGTGGTGTGAGGACCTCCGCGGGTCCCCCAAGACCCCCTCAGGGCTTTGCGAAATCGAAATTATTTGCCAGCCTCGGTTGAAAAAGAATACAATATTAAAATACCATTCAACAATCGTGAGGCAGCGAATGCTTCAATGTTAATTTTCAGTACGGTAAATACTGATAAATATAACCCATAGAAACAAAAGCTCTTTTGGTGTCCCCCATAATTTTTAAAAGGGTGAAGGGATCCTGAGAGAAAAAAGTTTAAGAAACACTGCTTTAAACCATGGCTTGTTTTATCCATGCCTTATTGCATGTAGCACAATTCCCCAGGTTTGCACAATACACTGAGAATAAGCTTGTTTACAAAACTTGGTCCTTAGACTTGGCCAAAACCATAATCCATAGAACCATAATCCTGTGCCAGATCTCCCAGCTGTAGGTCCCCTGGATCTCAATAAATAATATTCAGATAGCTTGGCCATGACGTAGTCCTGCGCCTTGAGATGCAGACTTCACACCCAGGATAGGCTTAACAATGGTTTGATTAATCCTAGCTTATTCAAGATCTTGTGGCTTACCAGCTGCACTTGCATGTAAAGAAGGGGACAGGGCTTTGGTTGCATAGTTGGGCCCACCATCTTGACTTTTTTGCATTTTTACACCCCTGAATGGCAGGGGGCAAGTCAGAACCAAGCCAAGCAAGCATGGTATGAAAAAGGCCATTGGGGCTGGAGATGGTGTAGAGCTGAATTGCTTGAAAGTACTGTATTACCTTTAATGGGCATATAAACCTGAAATCTGGGCAGAAAGAGGAATGCTGCTTGTGACGCTTGTAAGCTGGGTTGAGACAAGGTAAGTACAAATTCCAGAGGGCTTCCTGTGTTAGCTTTTCACAGAAACCACCTGAAACGCAAACAGATTTATGGCAGCAGTAGCTCTCGGGTGCTGAAGCCTGTTTTTCAGGCTGCAAACAGCTGAACCCTATTTGTTGCAACTGCAGAATCCCTGAAGTCAGTGGCTGAGTTCTCACAACGCACTTACCCATGCATAATGTAACCTCGGTTTGATGTGCATTGCTTCAACTGTAAATTGAGCTGGATGGATACAACAAGCCAGACTATGATGTAGTTAGGTCGTTTGTGGTTACATTTGCCATATAGCAAAATAATCCCTTGAATTATTTTTCCGCTTATGACATCCTCGTAGGTGGCAAACTATGTTTTTTTTCATGGTAGTTTATTGCATAAACCCCAATTGGCTGGATGCACCCTTTGTGCTAATGCAAAAAAGGGTAAGCAAATTTGTGGCCCTTCGGGGATTCTCCAAATGCCCTCACCTATTGGCCCTGCTGGTTGTGGTGGCTGGGCACTGTAGTCCGGTGACATCTGGAGGGCAAGCAGTTCCTTACCTGAACTTAGCATATCCTATGAACTTGTTTTAGTGTGATGGGCCAACCCAATCTCAGGGGCTAGATTCATACATTGCACTAAGGTGGTTTGTTGAGTTTTGGCTTAACATGTTGCAGGAACCCAGAGTGTATAGCTTACAGCAATGTTAATGCTGGCTGGGGAATTCTGGGAGTTGAAGTCCATGCATCTTAAAGTTGCTGAGATTGAGAAACACTGGCTTAGTGTGTTGGATAAAGACAACCAATCAGGCATTATTAAATAAATTACAGTTAGACAAACCATGACTTGGTGCAACGTGTGAATTCAGCCGTGGGACTGTTTTACCCACATGCTGGAAGATTTTAAAGCGCAGCCAAGTGGTTACCTGACTGTATTTGAGATAATTTTAGGAGCTGAAATTGTCTTTTTGCAAAAGCAGATGTGGAATCTTGGGGATTGCCCAGACTCGTTGTGTGGTGGGTTGCCAGAAGAACAACAACAACAGAGTGATTTGTGCTGCTGCGGGGGAATTTATGCTGCTCTTGACTTGGAAAGTTAGCTTCGAAGCTGCAAAGGGCTGGCTGTTTTCTTCACTCCTGTGTGTGTGTGGCTGTGTGTGCTCGTGGAGGACTTGCCATTGATCTCCGAGCGAGTCATGCGTGTGAGCGGGCTGCTCCAGAGAGACATTCCGTCTCCCCGTGTTTTTCAGAAGAGAAACCGTGCATTCAGGGGTGAGCAACTTGTACAGTCCTGAGCAGTCGAGTGTTAGTTCGACATTGTGAACCAAGTGTGTGTGAAGGACAATGCAAGCTGCAACCACAGAGGAGCCAACAGACTGAACTATCAGTCAAGGAATCCACAATTAGACTCTCACCTCTGCCATGGATTCACTAAGGCAGACTTCCCCAACCTGGTGCAGATAAGTCCTACAAGATGCAGTTCTGAGAATTCCCATTTTTGAAAAAAATAACAAAAAGCCTTATCATTTTTTAAATATCCTGAGATGTGTCTGTATGTGGGAGGAAGCTATGGCTCAGTCCTAAACTACCACATTTGAACCACTGTCCCCTCTTTGCCCCTAAGAAAGAGGGAGAGAGGGTGTGCTGTCAAAACTCACGTGGGGCTGTGCTTCCTACTGTGCCTGCAAGCGCCAAGGGTTGTTACCATGCCACAGAGTTTGACAATCTCTGGGATAAATACATTGCAATTTAATAACATCATTTGTTATTTTAGCGGGTTGTGATATGCAGATTTAGAATGGCTGCCTTAGAGTAATGCACACATTTATCCCTTTTTTCGTGATCGACTGAGTGGCAGAACATTAATCTTTTACTTAATCAGTGTTTTCTCATATTATCAAACTGGCATACTGCAAGCAAGCTGTAGTTAACAACAACCACACATGTAAACAGCAGAAGTAAAAAAATAATAAGAGTTGAATTGTGCTAGTGGAGGAATTGATCTATTTTTTCTCCTCCTACCTTCTAGTTGATCCTTAGTATTGTGCAAAGCCAGCCCTGTAGCTTAGTGCAACATAGGAACCCAGCCAGCTGTAATTGTAAATAAATGGTGGGTTAACACACAATGAAGTCAGTTAAGATGTGAAAACTGGAGAGCTGTTAATGCTGATTTTGAAGTTGCTAAATGTGGCTTCTCAATCATCTGATCTTCTACAGCCTTAATTCTCTTTGGTGCCTTTGCTCTGATCATCCAGGAAGTGACAGTTTCATCGTTTTCTCTATTCCGTTCCATTGTACAGGTAGTCCTTGTTTAGTAACCACAAATGGGACCGGCAACTCAGTCGTTAAGTGAAGTGGTCACTAAGTGCCACAGTGTTTACGATCTTCCATCAGCTTTCCTTTGCTTTACAGACATATGAAGGTCATAAATGCGAAGTTTCGTCATAAAGTTACTTTTTCATCACTGTCGTAACTGTGAACAGTTGCTAAATGAGGACTATCTGTAAGCTACTCCTCCACCCTTGTTATAGGTTGAGAGAGAGATTCTGCTGGAGTTCCCTGTTTCTATTGTTGTTACTGGACACAGTTGCCTCATTCCCTTCACTTTCACACTCACTGTGGTGTGACTGTTCTTGTTATTTTAATGTTCCAGCTCACCAATTCTAGCTCAGGGTAGCTAAAACCTAGTATATAAAGCATATTTTCCAGTGTGGGTTGGGGAATATGGAAAGGGTTTGTGGGCTGTGGTAGTAGGGATATGACTTGGCCTTGCTAAAATAATAGGACTGTTTGGGGTTGGGAGGGATCTTCAAGACAATTTATTCAGAAATGAAGTTCTGTCTTCGCCTTTCCAAATGCTTGGTGTACCTGTTTCCCTGGTTGCTGTTGTGAGTCACAGGAGGCAGAACAACACAAGTGGACTTAAGACTCTTTCATGGATCTCAAGAAGGAGGTAAATATCAGGTTTCAGGAATTGTAAAACTAAATTGTTTCAGTAGATGCAAAATTGTTTTATAACTTGCCTTCAGGGTTCTGTGCTGATATGAGCCTTGCACTGATTACACCCAGAAGTGATACGATGGGTACATAAACACAAGCTTTAGTGCTTGTAGACCAAGGCCAACAGAGTTGATAAATAAACAAATCAAAGCATTAGTTGTAGGCATAGGCAAAAGGAAGGATTATATATTTTAATATATTTTCCCCATATCTTTCTTCCTTTAAAGAATTCTGATGTATGGTTCTCAGGTGATTTCCCATCCTGGCAGTTTATAAAGTGGTTCCTGTTGAGCAATTACACTGGTTCTGTATCATGTTCATTCAATCATCATATGGTTGATTGGCAATCATCAAACTTCTCTGTTTGAACCTTGGATGCTCCAGTGAAATCCTCTGATAGATTGAATATAATTTCCCTATATGACTTGTTCTTCTGAATTAGCTTGGTGAAATGTTTTATGTTGATTTCTCACGTGTTGGATTTTTTTAAAAAAATCTCAAATTCTTTCCATTCCATGTGAAAAAATGTAGATTTTTGGTATGTTCTTATATAAAAGAAAACCAAACTACTATTACCACTACCATCCCTCCTCCTCCTCCTCCTCCTCTTGCCAAATTCAGCTGAACAGAGTTTATTTCATTTGCCTTTTCTATGGCTGAAGGC